CATATTTTCATGCGCTAAAACTATGATGATTCTATTAAAATAGTAATAATTTATGGTGGTATGCTTCTTCCCAAAATCTACATTGCTCATGGCTGGGTGGTCCCTTCCATCACCTTTCAAACCTCTGTTATTAACACTTAATTCCCAGCTTGCTCTCATCCTTAGTGTTCCTAGCCACTCTGGTCATTAATCCATAACAATATGCTTTGGAAGTTTTCTTCCTCCATACAGTGTTTGGAATATTACTATGATGCAACTCCTGGTTGTGGGTGGGATAGAAGAAAAGGAGTCTAAACTTTCTAGTCCTGAGTCATTATGCCAGGGAATAGTTTTGGACAATTTGAGATGCAAGTGATTTTGCTTATGGTCTGACACTTCTTACATTAGGTAGAAAAACAGTTGATAATTAATATTCTATATAAGCTCTTAGTGGTAAATATTTCAGCAACTTATGCTTTGTATCTCCAGCTATCCAGAAAATTTCTGTACTTCAGGAGAAAATATACATTGATGTGATATCCCTGCAATTGTACACACACCACATACGCATCCCACGCCCTCTTTCCGCATCATTTCTGAGCTTGCACCACACTGAGCACCCCCTCCCCTGACTTGCACGTGGCCTGCTCTGGGCTGCCCAGTGCCTCTCCCCCCCGTGGCACCCTCCTTACCTGGGACTCCTTTCGCTTCCCACTTAAGGACCATGCGTCTTGGGTTCGAACAACAACCAGGCCTGCCTGGATTGCTGTCACTAAGCGATGCAGTCACATGGCATTGCGCTTTACGACCGCATTGCTTAGTGATAGTTATCCTGACCCCAATTGCAGTTGTAACTTGAGGACTACTCATATCTATAAAGACCAGAATAGTTGTGAAAACTGGACACTGATAAAGAGCAAGACAATAGCTGCCTTCTAAATATCAATCTGAAAATGGTTAGTAAGAGCCCAAGAACCAACAAGCCCATTCTGGATTGAATAAAGACTAACTGCTCCTTTGAAGCAGTCATGAGCAAGCAGAAACATACTTGAGCACATGATGCAATGGGTAATTTAAGAAGGACAGCTCTCTTTGGCAAGATTGGAGGAAGTAATGTCTGGCTTGTGGGACTTCCCACTGCTTAATAGCGCTCATAGGGAATTCCTCCTTAGTTTGGATCTCTCACTGTAAAGCTTCCAGCCCATTGGTTCTTTCTTTACTCTTGGGTGCTCTGGAGAATAAATCCACACCCTCTATCCTGTGACATCCCTTCATGTATTGGAGGAATGCTATCATGTCTTCCTGTAGCCGCCTCTTCGATAAGCTAAACATACAAAGTTCCTTTAACCATTGTTTGTAGGATTTAGCCTCCAAGGCCCTTACTATCCTTGTTGCTCTTCTCTGCACTCTTTCTGGTTCCTCAGTGTCCTTTTTGTATTGTGGCAACCAGAACTGGACACAGTATTCCAAGTATGGTCTGACCAGTGCAGCATAGAGCAATACTATCACTATATCTCTGTTGCTGCAGCCCCAAACTGTATTTTGGCAGTTGCAGCACATTGCTGGCTCGTGTTTAATCTGTGGTTTACCAAAACTCCCAGATCCTTCTTGCAAGTACTATGTTAAGCCAAGTACCACCTCTCCTGTACTTGTGCATCTGGTTTTTCCTGCCTAAGAGCAGAAACTTACACTTCTCAGCACTGAACATTTTGTTGGATAGGGTTCAATATTCAAGTCTATCTATTTTGAATCTTGGGGTTCTCTTCTGGGATGTTAGCAATCCCCCCTCCAGCTTTATGTCATCCACAAAGTTTATGAGCATCCCTTCTATTCCCTCATCCACGTCATTTATGATGATTTTGAAGAGCATTGGGCCCAGGACAGAACCCTGAGGTACCTCACTGCATACCTCTATCCATGTGAACATAGACACATTAAGGACTACACTTCGGGTATGCTGGTTCAGCTGGCAGTGGGACCATCTATCCCGCATTTTTCCAGCTTAAGAAAGAGACTGAATACGTTACACCACATACGATTTGCTTGTCTGTGGCCCTAGCCAGTGTGATTTGCGAACCCTGGTTTAAAGCTTAGCAACTTATGCAAACTCAGACGACGACTTACTCAATTACCCATAGTGAGACAAATCACGTGCGAACACAGCCCAAATATGCTTTAAAATGTAGGAGTTCCTTTCTACCATGCTGTTCAAACTGCCAGGGGATGCGGAGCTACGGTATTTCTAGAAAATCAGCCTTCTCTAGCGGCCGACGGGAAAAATCAAGGGAGAAGCCGCAAGAACGTTCGCGCCGGAGCCGCTTCGCCGGCAACCAGAGAAACGGCGAGGTTGCCGAGGCTGCTACTGCCCCGGTGAGCCAATAGAGGGCGCTGCCACACCGCCCGGTTCCTGCTGCCTCTCTCCAGAGGGCGGGGGCGCGAGTGGCATTGCCGGACTTCGCCGGGGTGGCGGCAGGGATTCTGGCAGAGCCTGGGGTAGGCGGCGGGGAGGGGAGGACGGAGGATGGCAGGAGATGCTGGCGGCCGCCGGGGGGGGGGGGAGAAAACGCCGCCCCCGGGGAAGGGGGGGAGGGGGGGGGCGGGGGCGGTATAGGCTACGGCGTCTGCTTGGTG